TGTTATGAAGTAGCAGCAATAACAGTAATTTTTATCCCCGAGGGTCACCACAATACAAGGAACTGGGTTAAGGGGTCGCAGAGTCAGGAAGGTTGAGAATCGTGGTGTTGGAGCAATGGAGACATAACCACACCAGTTTATACAGAACAGCAAGTGCTGAGGGGCTCTTCTTTACAAAAGTCAGAGTTTGCTTCCTTGGTTTGAGTGGAAGAGGTCAACTGGTTTCTCCATGGGGACTAATGGAGGGTGAAAGATGGAGACGAGGTTGTGGCGAGGTTGCAGATGGATGCATAATCCGGGGGGGGCACGGGGGGACTGACGGACGGACGGACGGACAGTGGAGCGTGGTCTCTTGCTGGCCTGTCCTGTGCAAGGCTTCTGTGATCAGTGTGCAAAACCTAAACTTTCCTCATTCTTATGGAGGTATTGCAAAGTGATCTATAGCAAAACATTACACGTTTAAGTTTGTGGATCATAGAGACTAATTAACGACAGTATTTCAGAATACCTCCACAGCTTATTTGTGTATTCCAGGGATTTCTTACTTTTTAAAATTATAAAGCAAATAACCATTTGTTCAATATTTTCTTCTTGATTAAAGCAAAGTGGGATCAAATGGAAATACGAAGGGACAAAACTGTGTGTGTGTGTGTGTGTGTGTGTGTGTGTGTGTGTGTGTGTGTGTGTGTGTGGTGCTTGCATGATGCTTGTCCCTGTATGGAGGTCAAAGGTCCAGGATCAGACTCAGCATTTACCCCCTGAGCCATCTTCTCAGCACACCATGTTTATTTTCTAAGCAGAAATCATTCAGTCCTAAATTACAAAGCATGCCTTGCTATCTTCCTCGGCTGCTCTTAGACCGTGATTATACAGAGCCCGGGACGTGGATCATTAAGAACTAGAGGAATGGTAGCTATGGTCAGTAATGTTATTAGGGACCAATTTTTTAAGAAGCCCATGATTATAGTCAAGTCTGTCCCTGTTCATTAATTATAAAGTCCTTGATTAGCCATCTCACATCTTGGAGCTAATTTTCGTACCTCTAAAATGAGATAGCATCAGCCTTAATTGCTTTCAATGACTGTTGTGACATCTATGGAAAAAGAAAATAATAGTGTGCTGTTTAAACAAACAGTTGTAGCTTTCTGATGCTTTCCTGGTACTACATTCTCACTCCCAAGAGGCACTCTTGTTATGAGCAAGAACTTCAGCTAGGCAGCTGCGTGGGAAGGCATGGCTAACCTGCTTTCAGGGTGTGGTTGAAGTTCTGGGAGGGTGTGTGTGTGTGTGTGTGTGTGTGTGTGTGTGTGTGTGTGTGTGCGCGCGTGCTGAGGTGTATGAGGAGGAAGGGTATGTGGACCATGGTGTCCGAGAAATGGAAGCACAGTGCTAGGTCTTCATTTTTCTAACCCAGTCTCCCTTTCTGTCAGCAGCTGTCATCCTAGGACTATGAGGGAGCCAAGTTACTGACTAGGGAAACCTAAGCTTCAGTGGGATGATGACAAAAGGTGATGACATCACAGCTGCATTAGAGAAATAGGCTAGGGGTCTGGGGTCACTGCGGAGAGAGGAATTCTGAACTGCATACTCTGTCAGAGAGAGGAGTTCACGCTGAACTGAGGAACCCGGACATATGAGGGACCCACGGAGCAGAAGACCATTGATAAGTGGGAGCAAGGGCCGACCGAAGAGGCTTGAGGAACAGGGGTTCTTAGAGGCCCTGCTTAAGGGAAAAGGAGGCTTCTAAGCTTTAGAATTGTGAATTTCATGAGTCACGATGTCTTCTGGCATGCCATGTGATGTCAGACTTGAATAATTAAAAAAAAATCGTTAGACGTCATAACAAACCCAGTGGCAGTGATAGTCCCAGCATACAGGAGGCAGAGGCAGGCAGATCCCTGAGTTTGAGGCCGGCCTGGTCTACAGAGTGAATTCCAGGACAGCCGGGGCTACACAGAGAGACCCTGGCTCAAAAAAACAAAAACAAAATAAAACTTTAAAACAGATTGATGTAAAGAATTGTAAGTCATTGCATACAGTACACTGGACTTCACAAAGGACTCTGAATTCACACAGGACACTCTGATTTCATACAGGATCCTATGACTTCACACAGGACTCTCTGACAACACACAGGACTCTAAGACTTCACACAGGCATCTGTAATCTCATACAGAAATGGAAGTTCACAGAGGATTCTATGACTTCTTACAGGAGTCTCTGACTTCACATAGGACTCTGCAACTTCATACAGGACACTGTGACTTCACACAGGACACTGTGACATCACACATGATTCTGTGACTACATACAGGACACTGAGACATCACACAGGACTCTCTGATATTATAAAAGATGCAGTGACCTCCTCACATAGGCCTCTGTGACATCATAAAATACTCTATGATATTACACATGGCACTTTGACTTAACACAGGACCCTGTGACTTCACACAAGACACTGTGACATCATACAGGACTCTGAGACATCAAACAGGATGGTCTGACTTTATAAAAGACTCTGTGACTCAAGGCCAGGCTGGACCGACAGCCTCTAAAACAATACAGAGAAACCCTGTTAAGAAAAAAAAAGAAAGAAAGAATTGTAAGTCATTTAAAAGTTTGTTCACTCCTTATGAATATGTCATTATCTTTGAACACATATTTTACTAAAGGTTGAAGTTTGTTAAAATTACAACAAAACTTGTTAAGGAAGATAATGATAGTCTTTTTTAAATCTTCAACTTTTTAAGTATTGTATAACTATGATTGGTAAGCTAAAAAGAAAATGGAAGAAATGTTTAAAGAGATGAGGTAGATATTTTGATATTTAAATGTCCCATTACAGTAAACGATAGGAAAGAGGGAAACAAAATTAAAAAAAAAAAACATTTCATTCTTCAATCTCCTTACTTCCACCCTGCTCCTTTGGTTTTAACAGGAAAATTGTTTGAGATATCTGTTGGTGTATTCATGACTTCTCATTTTTTTGATTCATAATGATAAGCATATTTAGATTCTTTCCTGATTATGGATTGCATAAGAAAACCCAACTATGCCTTTCCTATCAAAGGCACTGGGTCTGTAAAATCTAATAAAATTATTATAAAAGCGTCATTCTCTAGAAGCACACTAATGAATGTGTTTGGTTAATTTCCTTGGTAAAGAAAACAATTTAGAGTAATTGGAAAACTAGAGTTAATCTTCATAAGCAATGTCTAAAATCACTGTGGAGAATAAAGCTTCATATATCCACAATAAAGTAATTTAAGTTTATACACCTGTTCTGTCATTTGACCTCAACTACATGTATAAGCAAGAAATGGTTTTTGCTTCCGTCTTTGCTGACAGTAGCAGAAACTATATATATTTTGACCCAGTCACTTGGGCAGGACAGATTACATTGCAGATTTCAAGCCATTTGATCTCTAAGAGTCATCCAAACTGATTTCTTTGCCAACGGTTGTTGAACTGAATTTCAGTACCTAAATACAGTCTGAATTTCTCACACTTTTCCATTGGATTTTCTTTGTCACGAGGTTGGTACCATGGTCCATGACTGTCAGGTGGGGACAGATGTGGTGGGATGTTGGCCATTTTAGCAGTTTACTCTTGGAGGAGACAGGACACTGGTTTATGCAGTCAGCTGATGCCTGGGGTGTGAATGTCTCACTTTGTTACTGATTTCGTACTCCCAAAGTGAGGTGACTGGACCTGGGGTTGAGCAGGGATGCAGAGTCAGCTGTGGAGCCCTGCGGGCTGACCCTATCTCACTGCTGGAAGGGCTGACATCATCCCAGGAGGACGTTGGAGCTAGCCTGGCTCTAGATACTTCCCCAGGTATTATGGACTATGATCACTTTGTTAAGTGGAGAGTTCGCCAGTGCTTAAGGAGACTCAAGACATTAAGTAACTACCCCCTAGTTTACATCACCTAACTCTGCCTTCTCTGCAGTTAAGCCTGTTTTGTGGAACAAACTTCCAAGAATAGTGTCTTCCTAGGTTCAGCTCAGCAACCTTCCTTTGTATGGTTCCTCTAATTAGGTGCCTCTGTCTCCAGGAGCTCATTAGGAATTCCTGTTCTCTGCCGGCTCTTTTTCTTTAATGTAACTTTAAAAATTTTCAAACCTAATAAAAAAATTGCCATGTTGCTAGAATGTACTTCTGTGTAGCAAGTGAGTTTAGTAATTATTAACATTTTTCCACATTTTTAAACTTTGTGTGTGTGTGTGTGTGTGTGTGTGTGTGCTGTGTGCTGTGTGTACATGCATGTGACTATCAGAGAACAGCTTGCGAGAGTCATTTCTCTCTTTACGCTGTGTGGGTTCCAGAGACTGAATCCGGGTTGCTTGGCACCTGCCACCCTTAACCATGTGGCCCAGATCACCAGCCACATTTTGACAATGTTGCTTTCTGAAACGCTGGAAGAATTAAGTGATACATACCCATTCCTTTTCTTAGTTAACTTGACCTAGATGCTGCTGTGTTTGAGCTAATTATACTTGACAATTTTTAAAGGTTTGTTTCTTGATTCATTCATCTATCAAATAAGTAGAATTGTTATTAGCAGGAGCAGAAGCTAAACCTTGATGTAGACAGCCTGGCTGAGAGAGAGAGAGAGAGAGACAGACAGACAGACAGACAGACAGACAGACAGACAGACAGACAGAGACACAGAGACGCAGAGACACAGAGACAGAGAGACCAAGATGCTTCAGTCACAAGAAGGGTAATTGTTACCTTTGAATGAAGTTAAAGGAGCCCATATGTTCGGTCCTGTCATTCATCCATTCACTGATTCCTTCATTCAGTCGCCAGCATTTAGCATTTACTTTTTAGTAGGCTCTGCAAATGCAGCAGAGAGTCCTCCACTCTTAGGATCACAGTGTGTGTCCAAGAGCAGAATGAATACCCCGGGTACCTTTACAAAGGGAGTCAAGAATTCTCCCTGGGTGTTTCTGGTAACATTTTGTGTTATAAGCAGGAATACACAAGGCAGATGAGGAGAGCACCATTGTACTTCAAGTCAAAGAAGCATGAAAAATACAGAATACTCTTAAGATTCCAGTTTTGTACAGAGTAGCATTTGCTGGGGAAGCTAGGTGTCTTGAGAAAAAGAAAAGCTTCAGCCCGGGCTGTAGTTCTCCTCCTCCTCCTCAAGCCTCTGGCTGCGACACCAAACGCGTCCAGATGTCCTCTTGCAGACGGAATTGTCCTTGGTCACTTTAGTGTAGGCACTTAAGAGTTACAAAATAAGAGGGTAGTTTAGCTATTTTCCTGTGGGCTTACTCTGTTAATTAATTCCATCGCACTGTATTTAGCACAGCCTCTCAGTGTGCATGTGCCGGTGTAGATGTGTGTGTTTACGCACTTGTACGTGCGTGCGTGCGTGCGTGCGTGCGTGTGTGTGTGTGTGTGTGTGTGTGTGTGTGTGTGTGTGTGTGTGTGTGCTGGAGAAGAGATGGCATTATAGTTACATTAGCAAGCCAGGACACAGTGTCACAGAAAGGCACCTCGAATCAAGTGTGAGAGATCTCCAACAGGTCCGTGTGTCTGTAGAGCAGCAGCAGAAACCGGTAAGGATGAGGCCAAGAGACAGTACTGGCCAGGCAGGTACGCCCAATACCGGGGTAGGACATATCTTTTAGAATTATAGTTTTATTCATAAGCTTAGTATTTTTATTTCTCTGCTGTTTGAAGATTGTCAGCAGGAACTGCAAATAGCCCCTAGGGATGTGGATTGGAATGGTTGGTTTCTACGAGGGCCTTGCACAGGCTGAGAGCCGCATTTCCGTTCTAGAGTGGTAACTTGTTAAGTTCACGGATCCGCCGGATGTCTTAGATCAGTGGTTCTCAACTTCCCTAAATGCTGCGGCCCTGTAACTACAGTCCCCCGTGTTGTGGTGACCCCCCAGCCATCAGTTATTCTCACCGCTACTTCATAAGTGTAAGTTTTCTACTGCTACGATTCGTAATGTGTGTATATATATATATAATTTTTTTTTCAGATATGTTTGCCGAAGGGGTTGTGGCCCACAGGTTGAGAGCCACTGTCTTAGCTAGAAAGTTTTGCAGGGGGTTCAGCCATAGTGTTTTCCCCAGCCATTATATTGAATAGAAATGCAGCATTATTTTAGCTGTGTTAGGGGACTGAAGCCTGGGAATGATTTCCATTAAGTTTCTGAGGAGCATGAAGGTTAGTGAGCATAATGAAACTAGTTCTTATTGTAGCCCAGTGTTGCTGTTCCCTCTCCTTTTATCTCGTCCTCCCTTTTGCTCTCCTCCCCCTGCCACTCTGTGCCCTGCTCTCTGAACCAAACTCAAGGCCTAAGCTCACCAAACTGTACTCTTGACAGAGTCACGCTCTCAATTCTGTGATGATCCCGCAAGGGGATTCCCAGGTGGTTTTTCTGATGAGAGAATGTCCCTACCTGCCCTTTGGTTTCTTCTGAACCAGTTTCAGCATGAGATAAACTTACCACACAACGATAGTACAGGAAAAATAACCTGCATGGAGACAGTAGCCATATTCTGTCCAAACCCTGTTTCTCAAAAGGATTTAAGACAGGTAGGTTTGTTTTTTTAAACACAGGATGGATGCGTTTTTAAGATTTCCTTTCTTTCTGTGTGAAATTCCCTACAGAGTCCCTCCATCCTTTAATTTGTCCATCCAAGCCAGTGGTTCTCAGTCTGTGAGGCGCAAACCCTTTGGTGTCACAGATCAGAAATCCTGCATGTCAGATATTTGCATTACGATTCTGAACAGTAGCAAACTTACAGTAAGAAGTAGTGACGGCATGATCGTATGGTTGGAGGTCACCACAGCATGCGGAACTGCATTAAAGAGTCGCAGCATGAGGAAGGTTGGGAACCACTGTGAGGAGTATAGCCTGGTAGTATTCTGGTTTAGCATTGCCTACATCTTTATTATCACTGTTGTTGTTGTTATTTTATTGTTAAACTTCCAGAAGATAAGGGACACCCGTGTACACAGTGCCGCTCTAGTGTGACTTACAATGACTTGGTGTCTTTATCATCTCAGAGATCACTTGAAGGGAACAATACAGCCTTTGTGACAGCTTGTTTAATCCCTGCAGTTTTATACACATGGAGTGAAGGGAGGTTAGGAAGGAGACATTCATGACATGCCTGCTAGCAGGAACCCACCCACTTCAGAACACAGAAGGAAGTTTAGACTGACCTGCTGTCCCAGCTGCTGGAGCCTTGAGTGCCCCCCCCAGCGGAGGGCAGTTCAAGGACATTTGGTTTGAAGGTCAGAATCTGCCCTGTTTTCTGAACTCAGCCCTGTAAACACAAGTTTGCACAACATGTTTTTAAACTAGCAGCATTAGGTTTCAGCGAAAACCTTTGACCCCAGAGGGTGGCGGGTGGGATCAGACATGGTGACGGGCTGCAAAAGAAGGGAGAGGAAATTTGTCATTCCAGAAGTCAAATGAGTCCGGTTTTCAGTGCTCTGTGCGTCCCTTTGCTGGCCATAATAGCTTTGTGTGTGTGTGTGTGTGTGTGTGTGTGTGTGTGTGTGTGTGTGTGTGTGTGTGTGACAGAGAGAGAGACAGAGAGGGGTGTGTGTGTGTGTGGGAGAGAGAGAGAGAGAGAGAGAGAGTGAGAGAGAGTGAGAGAGAGAGAGAGAGAGAGAGAGAGTGAGAGAGAGAGAGAGAGAGAGAGAGAGAGAGAGAGAGAGAGAGAGAGAGATTTTTGGGTTCAGGACAGAAGCTTTCAAAGGCACACACAAAACAGTTTTTCAGAACAAGCATGTAAAGAAGCGACAAGACTTAACTCTCCAAGGGCCTTCGGTTCTTTATCACCAAAGTGGGATAGTCTCCTCACACGACTACATCTTTCATTAACTCTAGGGTTCCGTGGCAAGTGCCATTGAGAAAGAGTAAGTTTGGTGATTGCAGTGGAGCCAAAAGATGCTAAGTAGGCTGCTAATCATTGCTTGAGACTTTGGTCCCTTTTGAGTCCTTAAGTTACAGTATTCTAACCGTAAGTTTAATTACCATCAGATGTGCCTGATTCTGGGTGCAGAGACAATGAACCTCTGATGTCAGTGGCTTTTAGGGGAGGTACACTGCTTTTTTTAGTGTGACTCCATTCCAATACATTTCAATTTCAATACTTTTTATTCTGTTGTCAGTCCTCTTGCTGGGTTCTTCAGACTGTAATGCCTAAGCACCTAAGAAGAGGGCAGATACATTTCCATACCTGAATTATGCTAATCAGTTTGAACCTGTGGGGCGAGTTGGGCTGTACATTGTAACAGACTTCGGTTTAAATACGCAGGCGCCCCATAGACACAGACGTCACATCCAATTAAGAAGCTGAGCAAGCCTTTGAATGACATAGAATCTTTTGTTGTTGTTTATTCACTAAGAAAATGAGGCGGGGGGGGGGGTCAGACTAATTGCTTCCTGCTGTCAGTTATTTTGAGTGGTGGATAAAGATGGCCACTTGTTGAGATACCATCTCGTTCATTTGCTGAGTTCATTACTGATGCTGTAATAGACCACTGTTGGGAAGGAATAGCTGGCCGAATAGTGGGATAATCATTTTTACTTAGCAAAGAAAACAAACTGGTACAGTTTGTCTTATATATTTAACTTAAATGTGACCAAAGGTATAAATAAAAATAAAAGTACATTATACATACTCTGTATTTGGCCTTTTTAGAATGTCGATCTGAACAAAACTTACCTTTCTGTTGTACTCGGTGGATTTTGAAGTAAAAAAAGGAGCTAATGCAGACATTAAGGCACGGGGCATACTGCATTTGACCATGATACAGTGTAACAGTTTTCAGTATTTCTTGGCCTCAGCTTCTCTCCCCTGTACTTTTTAGTCTGGGTGAGGATTCAGAAGTAGCATGTGGTTGTTCATCCTAAGTGGTGAATCATTTCTAGTGCAAATGTTGCAATATTTGTCTTTTACACACAAGCACTATGGTAAAGTGAGCATCTCCTTTGCCTTTTGTTTATTTAGAACCATTTAATCTGAAATAAATTATAATTAAAATTTAAAATCCCACGACCATTTGCAAATTCAGTTGCTATTTTAAATTACCGTGTAGTGTTGTAAATTATGTTTCTAAAATTCCTTTTTTGTTTGTTTGTTTTTTGTTTTTCAAGGCAGGGTTTCTCTGTGGTTTTGGAGGCTGTCCTGGAACTAGCTCTTGTAGACCAGGCTGGCCTCGAACTCACAGAGATCCGCCTGCCTCTGCCTCCCAAGTGCTGGGATTAAAGGGGTGCCTGCACCACCACAGTCCTGCTGAATTCCAATGAAAGACCTGGGTTTCTGAGATTTAGGTGACGATGGGAATTTTTCTTTCTTCCTTTTCTTTTTCTTATTTCTAATTAATTAATTAATTAATTAATTAATTTCCATAATGGACACTGGCAGTGACCCAATGAACACAAAACAAAATGCTGAGAGCCACCTTGGCTTGGAGACACCAGCATCTTTTCCAGGGGTGTCAGCCTCCAGCATCTCCCAGCCGCACCGCAGAGACTCCTTCACCAGCCCTGTTGCAAATGAGTGTTGCAGCTTCATCCCATGGCTTGTCTGGCATGTCCTGGCATTTACCTTCTGTACCAGACAGTGCAAACCAGGTGTCAGCTTGGCACTGGGAAATGGGCGTGCTGTGACTCTCAGGGAAGTGAAAATGATGCGTGGCTCATGAGTGAAATATGTAAGTCTTCACCAGACAAGCAAAAATTTCCGTGTGGACCCGAGCATGCAAAAATAGTTAGAGAAGCGGGGTGCTTAAACATGTTTGCATTGTTGACCAGGCAGAGATACTGCCACACTCATGGCAGATAAATACCCATCCACATACTGTCCAACTCCCAGCTCACCACAGGGCTTGCAATGTGAGAGTGGTTGTTTTCTCCATGGGCAAAAAAGTCGGCATCCGTTGTGATAGAAGAATAAGGGAATTTCTAAGGCGCGTACATTACAAGGTGTTGAGGCTATTAAGCCTCTTTTAGGAACTGCTGCTGGTACTCTGTGGTATTATTTCTTCCTCTTATAAAGAATTGGTACTAAAAGGCCCCACTTGGCAGCCATCTTATAGTGTTTGCACAGTAGAGTGCAGAGGTCTGGAGAGGCTTCGCTGCAATCATAATGCGCTGCAGTCTGTAGATTATCAGTCAGTCAAGGAAAACACTGCTGATTACACACTGAATTATGCATACAAATATTTGCAGCATCCTGTGTAATTAACTCATACAAATAAATAATTACTATAATGGAGATGGGGTGAATTTCCATATATGTCTCCACATCCTAAAAAAGATGTTATCCAGCTGGTTAATACTATTATGTTTCTTAATGAGAAATATTTGAGATACAATGTTGGCCCCATGTATTTTCCCGGCTTTAGAAAATCTAGACTAAAATATCAGCTATTTTGCACAGGAATCTCCACATGTTTTTGTGTCGTGATATGTCTCTGTTTATATTCCATTAAGTTGGTCTACCATGCTGTTCTTCTAGCTGGGGGTCGGGAGGGGGGGCACATGCAGAAAACCTTCACCCATTACCCATGAGGAAATGCTTCAGAGCTTTTTATATCCCCAAAACATGCTTTGAATGACTGAAATTTAAAATGTAAGTTTTTTTCCTGGCAAAGACTACTTTCTATTGAAGTTTTCAGACATACAGTATACAGATATTTGACTCAGATGTCAGAGAAATAAAAATACTTGCACATTTCGTAATGAGATAAGTACAAATCGAATTTTACATTATTACTCCTGTGTTAATCTTTTGACTAATACAGTGGTACCATTCTGTATCTGTAGTTAAGCTCTTGTTAATTAAAACGTTGATTGCAAATGCTGTTGTTATTTTTTGATGCGTACCTGATAGCTGGATGTGCTTCAGAAGCAGAATGGGATGTTTACTGTGGATTCGGGTCGCTGAGTCATAGCAGTGGAAACTTTCCAGCTGTGAGACAGTTACATAGACAACCCTGTCTCCTATATGTGATCTAGCAGAAAGCAGAGCCAAAGCCCGAGGAATAGAAAGGAAGGTCTTGTTGCTTCCCCCTGTGTTTTCAGGAATAAAAGCTGCAGTAAGGATCCTGAGGCTGCCGATCATCAGGCTACGCCCCTCTCCTGGCAGATGGTCTGAGGGACTCTGCTCTGTGTCTTTGGGGAACTCTGCTTCTCTTGCTTCTGCCCAAGGCCTGCCTGCTGCTGCTTGCTCCCCATCTTTTATGTGTCCCCTCTCTTTTCACTTCTTGTTTCCTCTTCCCCATCTCTGTTTCTTCCTCTGTACTCACAGCATGATTCAAAGTAGGACTTGTGGTTGGTGATTCACAGACTTACTTCCTGTTACTTTAAAATGAAACCCAGTCCCCAGTAGTGAGGGTCATGAACCATCAAAGCAGTGAGAAGCAGTTAACAAGGATTATAACTATTCTTTGGAAAGGATTTCATTTTTTGGTATGAAAACACACACACACACACACACACACACACACACACACACACACACACACGTGCGCGCACGCATGCACGCACCCTTGCTCTGGTATAATGCTTTTCCTACTGGATTAGCCTGGCTTTTGTGCCTATGTGGGCCTTTTAATCAGGCCTGATTAAAACTACCTACGCCTTGCTTTCTGTGTGAGCCACAGAGCCTCGAACCTAGGTTTAACACAGGAGAACCAGCCTCTGGGACCCATGGAGTGATGATAAAACCCAGTCTTCAATGAGCTAGCGAACTGCAGTATGTAGAACCAAGCTCAGCACATTATGTGACAGTAAATGTGTGCTGTCATTGTGTGTCCCAAAACAAATTGTTGATAAATGGTAAGCCTTTGTTGTGGCACACAAATCTTTGTATTTGGAGATCAAAATCATAGCTCGGAATCCTTTTAAGCATTTACTCCTTTAGATTTATCTAACATTGCATGCCCTAAGTGTTTCTCTGATCAGATCTGTGTCACATTAATCAGTTGGATATTTCATAAAATGTCCAGCTGTCGAAGCACAAAAACAAAGCATTAAGAATATTTAATCTGTTTTCTGTCTATCAAGAGATGCTGTAGCATATTTGTTCTTACAGTTTTGAGTCTAGTCGCTTTATTCTTGATAGCTAAATATATACTGTATTATAACATAATATACATATGTTTCCATCGCTAGTACTACCCTGACTTTATTTACACCTTCAGTAGTATGTACTGGTCTTTCATATAATAACTAGACAGCTGTTTGTAAAAGTATTTCAAATGTAGTTATGTCACTTTTTTGCTGTGGAAATGTGTCTTTAAAATCTTCCCCAATTTCTTTAAATAATCCAAATAACATCAGAAGATCCTTCTTAACATGTTATAGGAAGCCATTACTAGAAATTGTAATGTGTGTGAAATAGAGTGGACCAGTTATATATCTTTTAATATTTATTTTTATACACTTTTAAAAAAAGATTTATTATGCATCCAGTGTTCTGCCTGCATGTATGCCTGCTGGCCATAAGAGAGCACCATATCGTATTACAGATGGCTGTGAGCCACCATGTGGTTGCTGGGAATTGAACTCAGGACCTTTGGTAGGACAGCCAGTGTTGTAACCTCTAAGCCATCTCTCCAACCCTGAACAAGTTGTATTTATAGCTCTATCAGTTACATTTCTATTTATAAGATATCTATGTTTATACTGTTTAACATGTAGTGAATAATTTCAAGTTAGGTTGGTAACAATGGAAATTAAGTATAAATACCTATTATAAAAAGTGCTACTAAAATTCTGAATTTCTGTGGAAGGATTTAGAATGTTGACAGAATATAGACTAAAGCAGGAATTGCTCTTTAGTTGTCTCTCTGTTCTCAACATATCTGTTTCTCAAAACTTTCAACTAGGCAGTGGTTATTAATAGTAAGTACTTTGTAGCGTATATCTTACAATATAATTTTCCTGTGCAGACGTAGCAACTTTTCTGAGTGGTCCCAAGGAATTAAAGCCATTTTAGCTTTTCTTTCAAACTGTCGCATTGATTGTAGTTTGCAGTTTTGGCAAGATGCAGTTTTCTTTCCTGGAAGCTTTTCAGATTGCTCAGAATCATCTTTATTAAATTTATCAGGACATGGATTTGCCAAATGGCATTTACATTTAATAATTACTGCAAGTGTGCACTGAAGATGGTAAGTGTGGCCGGGAAAACCTACAGATATGCATTGGTGCCTGTGTGTAAGCCTCTCAGTTGGGGTTGTAAGTGCTGCGCATTTCCCTCTGTGTCCTGATGCCTGGCCCAGAGCATCACAGGCTTTATGAGTCGGATTTAAATACCTACATGGATTATATCAAGTCCTTCTTCCTCTAAGGGTTACCACATTTTTCGCATGATGTGTTTTATTTCACACATTTTTTCTGTGTAAAGTCTATTCTCAGTCATTTCTTATTCTTGTACATTGAACATTTTGTAAGGATCAGCTTACTATCTTTTTTTTCCTTTAAAATACTGAAAGGGTTTAATAGAGTATTCTATAGGAAGACGGGATAAATGAGCTATTTGTGTGTGAATTCCCAGTTCTTCTTGCGTTTTTGTTTAGCTTAGATTCTAGTAGCCAGCTCTTGTGCTTTACTTTTTGACGACATACAGAGGCTAAAACTGAAGAGTTGAGGACTGACAACAGAATGAACTGCTTTTCTTCAGGTTAACTTTGTTTGCTTTTGAAAAATTTTAATGGCAATATATGCATCTGTTCCAGAAGGAGGGTCTGAATTCCAGCTGCATTCCATTTTGTTTGTAAAATGCTGGGACTGAAAACAGGGCTTGTGTCCTTGGATAGTGGACAGTGGGCGTTAGCTGTGAATCAGGAGCAGGTCAGAGGCCTCTCTGCGACAAGGGTGTCCATTCACGTGAGATGGGAGTGGTGAGGCTCGGGGTTCCTTTCACGTGATGGAGTCAGCGGGGAGCTGTGCGACCTAAAGTCAGCAGTTGTTGGGTTGACTTATCACTTCAGTTTCTGCTCTTTTGACATTCCAGGCTGCTTCAGTGCCAGGCCAGAGTTTCTTTATGCTAGGGGCTTGTAAGGTGTACTTGTTCAATTGATCTGGAAACCACTTCAGTGAAGGAAATAGTTACCGTATAACTTACTCTGCTCAAACCAAGCCAGTAAACCCAAGCATGAAGTCCTCAGACCTTCAGCCTCTTTGGCAGTGAAGTTCTGCTTCCATTGCTGAGAGAGGAAATGAGCTAGCTTTCCATTTGTCTGAAGCAATACTTGAGCTAAACATGTTTAAGAGTTTATATAAAGGCAAAGGAAACCCTTTTCTTTGCCCAAACCATACAGAAGCATACATTGTAGAATATGTGTTGTTTGATGTCAGGTCCCGTAGCATTAAAGGGTACAAAGGCTAGAGAAAGTACTTTGTGCTAGGTGGCAACTGCGACGTAACTCCTCCCTCCATCTTCAAGTCATTTGAAGTATGGCACAAAAAACAAAACTTTAAAAACCTGACACAAACGAGGCTTGTTTTAAACTCATGGTACTTCTCACAGGTCACACCTCACCGTTCCTAGTGGGTCTATCTCACTGCCTGTCCACTTTCAAAGTCTTTTTCTCCAGTGACAGAAGAAGAGTTGCGCAGATTGCTTCCGTTCCGTTTTCTTCATGGCTGCATCGGTTGTGCTAGCCAGACCTATTCTTCCCCCTGGCTTTTCTTCATCTTTTGAAGTCAGCTTTCCTTGTCTTTAAGCACGGTGTCCAGTTTCCCTTTATTGCTAGTCCGTGCACTCTGGACAAGGAATTAGGACTCACCGTCAAGGGAGTCACTGCATACTTGCTAGGTGTATTCCCAACTCCCAGCCGCCTACTTTCTAGAGCAGTGGCTCTAGGTGAGCTCCTCTGAAGGAAGGATGCATTGTAACCATATCAACAGAGGGTTCCTATCTCCCTGTGAGAGCTTCTGCCATGGAACTAACACCCTAGCAGCCCCTCCAGCCCTGTTTACAGGCATCCTACAGGCTCCTCTTTGCTGCCTGACGCCAGAACAGAGTTGTATGCATTCCAGGATACAGGCATGCCATGAGAGTTTCAGGCCTTTCACTTTTAAAGCTGTCTGTTGACAATTTACAGTTGTTTTTGAGGTAAAGTATAATATTGTGGCATCTGAATTCCACATGGACCAATTAAACCAGGCTAGCTAGCTTATCCATCACCGTAGTTATTTTATTGTTCACCACACCAAGACTATGCACCATGTCTGTGTCTAGCAATTTGGGGGGGGGGTCATGATCTGTGTTAGTAAAACAGTAATAAAAATGACAGAGTAGTTCACCATGTCACATCCCCTGGCTGGTCAAGACCATGTGGTTGCTGCCCTGCCCCATGTTAATCCCTTGAGTCAACAGTCAGGGACATTCAGTGCTACACTTGAAATATTTTTAACTCGTGGTATTTAGAATGTTTAGAATGTCAAAGGATCCTTTGTCATGATCTTCCCCTTGGGTGGTTCAAAAGATATCTTAAAGGCCTGGCTATCAGAAGACTCTTATAAAGTGCTTTGGGAGAGAAAGAGCCCAGTTTTAAGAAGGAAAATCATACCACACGCTTCAAATGATATATCAGTCAAATAACCTTCAAGAAATTCAAGAGAACAGTATGTTGTTCAATTCTGGTTGTTTCTATGAAAAAGAGATTGTGTTTGATGCTTTCTTGGGGAGCTACACCTTTGTCATCGTGTTTTTTCACATTTTATGTTCAGATGTAAATGATTGAAGAGACAGCCTAACCTGTTCGCATTTGTCTTAGAATATATTAAATTCAGTTTCTATGGCAACAATTTTTAATTGGCAAATCCTATTCTGCTGGTATTCTGTAGCCTATTTTTCTTGGGTACATTGAATTGTCAGAAATGCTTCACACAGTAAAAGTTAGACTTGACAGCGTTCTTTGGCAGGAGGCATTTTCATGGGCCAGGATTTATTTTATTAAACAATTACCTGTACTATGTTTGCATGGTTGGTTGCTGTGGCTGTTAGGTGTCTCTCTTAGTGCCCTGTCCTGTGTCAAGAAGCCAGTGAGAACTGGTATTTTTGTTGACACTTTGGGCTTACCTGAAAAAGAAAACAAAATAAAATAGCATGTGAACACCTTGCCCCTCCCAAATCCATTTAAGCAGCATTTAAGGTGTTTCAGTTTATTTTGGTTCCTCTTAGTCTTAACTGTAGTAGTATAGGTTAGAC